CGCGCCCCGGTACGAGGCGGCGGCTTCGGACTCGGACTCGGCCCCGGCCCCGCCCGGGGCCGCGGCTCAGCGGGCGAGGCCCTGGCACGCTGCTCGCCCAGGTGGCCCCGGGGCTCTTGCGCAAAGCGTGGCTGCTCGGTGCCGCGGCCGCCGTGCCGTGAGTCATGCCGGCCGGGCCGCGCCGGAGGCCGCCGGGTGCCGGTGGGCTGCCCCGCGCCTTCAGCCGGGTTTGGGGAGTCCTCTCCCCGGCTGCTGGGGGGCGGGGGGGTTTAGCGCTGGGACCCCGCTTTGTGCGGCGCGGGGTGGTTGTCCCGGCTGAGCCCCCCGCTGCCAGTGGATATCCGCACAGGCTAACGTGGGGGGAGCGAAACTCGGCTGTCTTTTTGTCTGGTGTTTGGAGAGGAGAGAGCACTCTAATTGCGTTAGCTGAGTGATTAGCTTAATTAATCAGGTTTACAGCAGAGATGAAAGGATAATGCTGGGAGTTGCCCGGAGAGAGAAAACGTAGGCTGCCGTACCAGCAACTTGGAGAGACGTTTGTGCTGCGAGAGGAGCGTGAACGCTTGCCAAGAGGGCACGGCCACCGGCTGGGGACGGTCCTGGGTCACCCATGCCGCTGTCATGCCCGCACGGGTGCGAAGGCAGCAGCCTGCACCCGCTCTTGATGGGCAGTAGGGTCCACGCACCCCCCTGGCTTTCCTGTGACGCTGTTGGGGTGTCTGGGTGAGCCCCATGTCCGGGATGATGTCCCCTGTCACCTTCCCGGTGCTGGCAGGGTGGTGGGGGCAAGGGACACCCAGTGACCCCGCTGGGTCCAGCCCCTGTGGTCGCCGCACCTCCTGCTCCAGCCCACGTTGTGCTGGTTTTGGCACTGGTGCCACTTGCCAGCCCCGACACCCGGCGGTCTCGGGCCCATCTGCCATCAGGCTGGTGGGGAGCCGGGGGCGAAGCGTCTCCCTGCCAGCTGCCGCGGGGATGGGGCTGGAGCTGGAGCGGTGCCGGGGCGTTTGCTCAGGGCTGTCGTCTGCATCCAGGGCGGGTGCGGCGCCTGTGGGGTCTGCTCCTGGCCCTGCTCTCAGGGGGAAGCGGGTGTCTGGCCCAGCCGGTAAATGGGGCTGAGATATTTTAAGATCCCTTTCTGTGGCCCTGCCAGCGTTTTATCGGAGTCGGCTGGAAGGGTATGGGGTACCCGATGAAATAGTCTTTGTGCATCTGAAGCCTGTAATCGTTCATTGCTTTGGAGGATTTCCATAAAGTGTCATGAAAAACCCATTTGACTGCTAATTTGGCTTAAACAAGTTGGCCGTCAGGATGGGAATGCACAGAGCTCCTGGCATCAGTGGCTGCCCTCCAGGGCTGGCTGCTACACGGGTGCTGGGGGAGATGTGGGTCCCCAATACTCGGGGGGCTCATGGGGCGTGGGGGGAAGGTGGGGCGGCTGCGGCAGGGCCCTCGCTTCCAGACAATGGCGTTTACAGTCTATTGTCTGGGCAATGTGGCGTGTCCTCACCGGCTCCAGGAAGCGCGTGCATCCCGGTGGGACTGAGCCGGGCTGCTGGGGGGGTCTGCTGGGGCTGGGTGTGCGAGTGATGTGTGCACTGGCCCCAGAGCATTGACCACCTCAGCAGTGTGGGTGGCTTGTGGCTTTGCTGCAGCTGGGGACCCTGGAGAATTTCCCCTCTGGTCCCTGTGCTGTGTTTCAGTGTAATATTCAGTGCTGTCCTAATCCCATTAACTCTCCCCTTTGTTTTCCCCACCTGAAATCCTTAATCAGCTCTAGCAGCTGGGGCAGGCAACTGTGGTGCAGCTGCATGGCTT